GTACTTAACCTTGCATAGAATTGGTGAATTATGTTTATAGCGAATTTGTTATTAATTCTGCTTTGTGTTTGTTAATGTACTTGTCCAATTTGAAAACCTGCCCGTAAAACTTCAAGTAAAAATTTTGTTGCCATTCGTTTTTCCACTTGTCCGTTGCCATTCGTTTTTCCACTTGTCCGTTGCAGTTTCACTTCTACTATGTGTCCCAGTACATATTTCGTTTTCACAGGTCTACTGCAAATTATGATTTGGTTTTTAGACAAACCGCAAATAGAGGCAATGATGCCCAGCCACCTGAAGAGCAGAGGTAAGAAAACTACCGCTGAGCACAGCACACGCTGCCGGGACTCTAGCGGACTCCCCGCTCTTCGCGCGGCTGCGCATTATATCCATCTAGTACAGTCTGCCCTCTCTCCGCCGCCGACAGCCTTTCTCTCCTTCCGCCGTAGACAATTCTTAGATTTCATACATTTCCAGTAACATATACACATTTACACTGCAATCGCGACCAATTTAAATAAAAGATCTTGATTGCAAAAATAGAAAGGGAGATGAATTTAGGCTTCGCCCAGGGTGACCGAATTCACGCCAGGACACTGCTACCTGCACACCTACCTTATAGTTTATAAAAATAAAACAACAGTTTAAAATTTCCTGAAATTACTCTCTATTAAATATTTCAGCAATAATCCAACTTAACCTTGTTGGAATACGAAAACAACTCATAATAGAGAATATTATTAATAGCCGTAGCTCCAGTCGTTTACAATTCATACTCGATCGAAACCAAATTTCGAGAAGTTTCTATAGTACTAGAGTTAAGAATCGGGGGATTCGGTTGACCTATTTCTAAGATTAGAGGAATCATTCAATATCAAGCGGAACTATAATATAAATGGTATAATCTTTCAAAAGACCGAACCGGTCAAGCAAGGAAAAAGGAAATAAATAATGGCTTCTTCTACGAATTGTAAAGATGATACGAATACACTTGAGAAAATTATGCATTTACATCGATCTTACAACTTATGTATATAAAATTTTATGAGCTACAGAAAGTTCCGAGAAAAACAGGAAAAGGAACGTACAATTCAGTGATACAAACAATACCAACCATATTCGTGTTCATCATCATCATCATCATAAGGTCATCAGTCCTAAGACTGGTTGGACACGTACCTCCACTCTTTCCTATCCTGAGCTAAACTTCGCATTTCCCTAAAACTAGAACAGCCCACATCCTTAACTATTTGCGAACAGTAATCTAATCTAGGTCTACCTCTACCCCTCCTAACTCCTGTTTCTGCCTCTAATATGTCTCTGACTAGACCTTCATGCCTGAGAAGGTGTCCTACCAACCTATCTCGCCTATTTTTTATTTTTTTTTTTATTTTTTATATTCGTGTTACGTCGCAATAATTTTGTTGGCATAATTGTAATGTAGTTAAAGTAATAATAAAGGGTATTTATACCTTACATATTGTTTTATTAAGTTACTAGTCGTAACCAATCCAAATTTAGCACTTTAATTCATTTCAATTTTTATCTAGGCCAAACTTTTAACACGTGGCACTTAATCATTAAATAAATAATTTTATAATGATGTAGGTGTGCTATAACGTATGTCTGTTTATGCAGTCAAGCATACACTTTAAACAAAAATTTAAAAGTTATCGCATGAATTAGAGCTGATGCAATCAATATTAATCACATTGTAAGCGTTTAGACCCGGCCATTTTTTTCCAGTTGTTTTCTACCACCATATGAATTTATGTAGCTTATCCTACAACATTATTATATATATTTTATATTACATGATAGATACTGATAAAGGTGGGCTATTGATTTATAAACATTAACAAACGTTTAATTTATACTGATTCTTGTCCATCAGCGCAGAGTTTATTTTCTTTAAGGTGTAGGGAACGGTCAGGATACTCTGTGGGACCTCTTCGTCCATGCCATCTGTTCGGGTGATTCTCATCAAGATGTGGTTTTGTACCTACGACGAAAACAACATATCGTTATAATATCGCCTTTGTACTTTTAGTAGTAGTATCTATACTAAAATAAATTTTCCTTTTTCGAAGAGTTAATCGTGTACGAAAATAAAAATTTTATACAAAAAAGAAAGGCACTTGTTTCAGGTTGGTCTCATTTTATATAAACATTTGACGATACCGAGTTTATAAAGCATATTTTAATAAAAACAAATTCTCAACATACAAAAAAATTTCGACAAATATATAGATATACTCGACAATTAATTCGGGTAAGAAAGTACTCGCTTAATAAAATATTTCTTTTTTCTATCTAGTATTTTTAATACGCCTTAATGAGGTATTTACTAAATATGCAAAGTTTGTGATTTTTTTTATATATCTATTAGGACACTTAGGTTAACCTAAATTTCAAACTGTTCATAATTTCTGATGTGCCACCCCGAAATAAAAATGTTCGGTCTTTAAGAGTATATGAAAGCGGGACTCGAGTCTCCGTCTCTCATCGAGTCTCTCTGGTGTCGCTGAGAGAGACTGTCAAAAAAACTGTTTAGCTTCTCTGAACGAGAGACTCGAGTCGCTCATAGAGAGATCCTCATTTCGTATCCAGTCTCTGAACGAGACTCGAATCCCTGAACGAGAGACTCGAATCTCTCAATAAGTGGTGTCTCGACAGACATGGTTAAAATTTTCAAGTTCAACATATTTCAGAGATCCCAGTCTTTCTACGAGAGATTCGAGTCTCTCAATTTTACAGTTTTATTCATTCAGTCTCTCTGTGAGAGACTCGAATCTCTGAATAACAATTTTATCGTTCGAGTCTCTCATACAGAGATTGTGAGAGATCCATAAAAACACCTAGGCAATAACTGAGATACTGTAAAAGACTGTGAGAGACGCTCTCAGAGACGCTGAAAGACTCTGAGAGACTGAAAATTTTTGTCTACGGACATAATAGCTTAACATGTGGTAACAGCACTAAATAGAGATTGTTTAATATGTATATCCAATTTTATTTAATTGTCATGTTATTTTCCTGCTGGTATTTTCGTAAACAAAATAATAATTACTCGGGAAATACATTTTGTGTACCACATTTTCACAATTACTTGGCTGTTCTATTCGCTAATTCGTGTGTAATTAAATTTAACAACAAAAGAAAGATTTAAGCGGATTTATCTTATAACCCCCGTTTCTGTTGTTATTTTGTTTCCATTGTTGTTGTACCCGTCGTACGCTGTTAGATATAGTAATAAGTTGGCGGGTTTTTCGTAAAATTTGTGTCATGCTACAAGTCTTGTAGCGCGACGTGTCTTATTCATTTTCAGATAGTGGCTCGTTGCAACAGCCGCCTGGAGGGTACTTTGCAGTTCAACATGATAAAGTGCCCACGTTTCGCGGTGGTAATCTTAAGTACAAAAGGATAAGGACCCTTGAGGATCGCCTTTGCAGCGATATGAAATAAAAGCGACGCGAAAACTTTGAATAGGAGCCCGCAATGAAAAGTTTATCTTCGATAATCCCCTGAAAACTTGCTACGTACTTTTAATTGTATGCGGTAGTCGTACAGATGTAGTGCGATGAGACGGGACGTGCCCTATCGCTTCTTATTCTTATGCCGCAGATGGAACTTTAAAATTAAAGAGAAACAATGTATCTACATTGCAAGATGGAGCGGTAATATTGGAAAAGAAACGTAATTAGGTAGGTATTGTAGCGAGCACGAGTGTTTGTGTGCGATCGGGCACACGTATGTGTATCAATTAAACAGTTCAAAGAAAAAAGAAACTATCCGGATGTTTCTAGAAGGCTCCCGAAAGTAAACAAAAGAGTATTTAAAGGAAGAGACGATCGCCGAGTGGAGAAGAAATGAATTGACCGTTGCAGAAGTCAATCCAGAAATAAATTGACAGTGATAGCAGTGAAGTAAATAGCGCAGTGAGTAGTGATATATCAACAGTAGTGTAAATAAATAGAATAATTCATAACCTAAGTTTAGTAATAATTTATTAGTGTTTTTAACTTCTTCAATAATTAGTGTAAATAAATTGTTTTTGTCGTTATCAGTATTAGAAGTTGTAACGTGCGCCACCCTGTATTTAGCGGCTCCTTCTGATCGCGCGCGTGTGTGTGATGCCGATACGTGAATAGAGGCGGTATTCTTTGGCGGCTTGCTAGGTGAATAAACAGCGACGGGGTGCGAATATACTTTTAATGTTTTTTCAAAGTTTTAAGTTAGTAGTTAAATAGACATCCGCGTGTTCACTTGCGTGTCTGGACAGATTTCTTCGTTATTTTAATTTCTACGTTTCTGAGTTTATATTTTTTACATTTTTTTGTTTTGTTTAAATACATACTGTTAACCAATTACCAAAATTTTCAATCTACAACGCTACAAAGTTAATTTTGTTAAACCCACGAACATTACAGTATTATTACCGGTGACAACGAGTTACCTTTAATTTGAAATTACAGGATATTTAAATTTTTGAAGTGACACTTCTTTGGGCTCGAAAGGAGTAAAATCTCGAGGCCATGAAACGACACGTTTTGCTACGTTTTGTCTCGCGACGCGATAGGCTATGGGAATAGAAAGGCGCGCATGCGCATATATGTATTCCAGTCAGTTGTTAGTGACCGGCAGCTCATATATTATAGTATAATGTATATTCATTATACTATAGCGCTAAATTAATTTTTTGGTTATATGTGTGCAGTTATATTACAGTAAATGTTTATTTAACAACAATTAATATTTCACTTCTTTCACGTGTACTAAGTTGCATTTGTTTTTTTTGGAACCTTCGCTATATTTTGAAATATCCTTAAAAAAGTACCCCAAAAACGTGCCTCCCCTGTTCCAGTCTTGGTATTGATCTTGATCTTACTTATTCGATCTTGGTCTTGATCACTGTCATCTCGGTCTTACATGTTAAGTCTTGTGTTGAATTTGTAAGGATTTAGTTGTTTTTTTTGCATGTTTTTGTCATGTCTGTTTGATACGAGCGGTGTCTAGCTCAAAGGCAAGTGCCGCGCTGGGGGCTGCGATGTCTTGCACAACAGCATTTGTGTTTTTGATTTGTTTAGTCTACCTATCGTGGTGGAAATAAGAATAAGTAAAATTTGCTATGTTTAGTTTAGTCAGTAATAGATAGTAGTAAGCACAACATGTATTGAAGTAGTCTTGTTTTCCGCATTTTAAAATATAAAAGTTAATTCTCGTTTTGATATCTTCGTTGTTTATTTTCAACAAAATAATTTCCCTTGGATTCAGTTCCGCGACAAAACATTTGGCGACCGTGACAGGACTGTTTTTGGGTTATTATTATTGAATTATTGGTTTTTGGGTGTTGTATTAAAACGAGAAAAATGGAACCGTTGAAGAAGAAAAGAACTGTGTTAAGAATTGGTTTTACGAAGGCCCTGAATTCATTACAAGTGATGTTGGACAATGCAGAATCTACAATTGCAAGTTTGAGAGTCGCGTTTTGTACTTTGGAAGATAAGTTAACCGATTTAAATTATTGTCAAGATTCTATAATTGAGGCCATATTAGAGACCGCTACCGAGACTGAGTTACAAAAGGAGTACGATGAAGCAGATGAGTACAAGCATAGGTTTTTAACAGCCAAATACTTGTTCACCGAACGTACCATGGGTGATAGTAATTTAGTGCAAAATTTGGTTGATTGTGCGGTCCCGTCGGGTTCTTCTTCTAACGGTGAAAACAAGAGATCTTATAAGTTGCCGTCGATAGAAATTGTTAAGTTTAACGGAGACATTCGTGAGTGGCTGTCTTTTTGGAGTTGTTTCAAGAAAATCCATGAGGACAAAAATATGTGCAATGAAGACAAGTTCCAGTATTTGAAACAAGCGGTTGTGCCGGACTCAAGAGCAGCGGAGTTAGTTAAAAGTTACCCACCAACTGGAAGCAATTATGATAAAGTAATAAGAAGTTTAAAGAGTAGGTTCGGTCAAGACGAACTTTTGATTGAAGTTTACGTGCGTGAATTGTTGCAACTTGTGCTGCAAAATGCTATTAAAGGACGTGGTAATATTTCACTTGCAAGCTTGTATGATAGATTGGAATCTCATTTGAGGGCCCTGGAAACATTAGGAGTTACCACGGACAAGTGCGCGGCGATGTTGTACCCGTTAGTAGAATCTTCCTTGCCGGAGGACTTATTACGCGCGTGGCAACGCAGTGACGCTGGAAAACACAATTCGGACGCGGAAGATGGAAAACCGCGATCCAAAGACAGACTCACCCGTCTTATAGAATTTATCGAGAGGGAGGTACAAAGTGAGTTGCGAATTTCGTTGGCGTTACAAGGTTTTAATTTAGATACTGGGCACGAATCTGATATTAAGAAATCTAAGCCGTATAAATTTAATAGAAATATTCCGAGCGCGATGGGTTTGTTAATGACCAAAGGAAAAGACCACACCTGTATATTTTGCGACGCCAAAGATCACGAGAGTGAGGGTTGCAATAAAGCTAAAAGAATGAGTTTATCGGGTAAACAAGAGTGTGTGAAGAGAGCGCGTGCGTGTTTTAAGTGTCTTAAAATCGGGCATGGTTTCAAAACTTGTCGAGTCCGCGTAAAATGTTCGCGATGTGAACGAAGACACGTAAATTTGATGTGTCCAGATGAGAAACCAAGAGAACAAAGGGATGAAATTGCGAGCGCAGATACTTCCGCGCCAGTGCGGAAAGAGTTGAATTGTATCGCGAGCATTTCCAATAACAAAATGGTGTTCCTGCAAACATTAAAAGTAAAAATTTACAGCGATAATAGAGAACTGATTGCGCGCGTGTTGATTGATAGTGGATCACAAAGATCTTACGTGACGAAAGATATAATCGAAAAATTGGGTTACCAATCGGTGGGTGAACAAAGATTAAGTCATATGCTTTTCGGTGGCGGGCAGTCGGAAGTTGTCGCACACAAAGAATATCGCGTACGAATGCAAAGTTTAGAGAGCGATTTTGCGTGTAATTTCGTCGCGCTGGACCAAGAGGTCATTTGTGGTCGTATAGAACCTATTGAGAATAAAAAGTGGCTTCACGAACTAAACGAATTTAATATAAGATTAACGGATGTATGGGACTGTGACGATCCAATATCGATTCTTATCGGCGCCGATGTTGCGGGAAAAATATTGACCGGTTGTCGTAAAGAACTGAAGAGTGGTTTAGTAGCGTTCGAAACGTTGTTAGGTTGGACCATTATGGGCGCAGTAAGAAAAGAAAATGTACGGGAAAACTCTACTGTCGCCGCGATATCGTTGTACGTTAAAAATTGCGATTTGAAAGATTTGTGGTCTCTAGATGTGTTAGGTATAAGAGATCCTATGACGTATAGGACTTTTAAACAACAAGAAGAAGTGATGTACAGAGAATTCTTGGAAACCGTTTCTATCAACAGTGAAAATCGATATGAAGTACAGTTACCATGGTCGGAAAACCACCCCCCGCTGTCCGACAATAAAAGTGTTGCTATTAAACGTCTACAAACTACTACGAAGAAGCTTAGGATCGAAGGAAGATATGAAGCCTACGACGCGGTATTCAAAGAATGGTTAGCCGAAGGAATCATCGAACGTGTGTTAGACAAGGAGATGGACATTTGGGGACACTATCTACCACACCGTCATGTTGTTAAGGAACGTAGTACAACTGTAATTCGACCCGTTTTTGATGCCTCTGCCAAACAGCCTCCTTCGCCTAGTCTGAACGAATGCTTACAAAAGGGACCCAATCTCATCGAGCAACTGCCTTCTATTTTATTGAGATTCCGGGAAGGTAATATAGGTGTAATAGCAGATATTAAAAGAGCTTTCTTACAGATCAGTATTGATCCTAAAGATCGAAATTTTCTAAGATTTTTTTGGTATGATGATCAAAATAATTTAATTGTACTACGTCATTGTAGGGTTGTATTTGGTATATGTTCCAGCCCATTTATGTTAGGCGCAGTAATTGAATTACATTTGAAGGGTATTCTTGAGTCATTACAGAATGACTGTAAATCGATTTTTACTCGTAGTAATATTGAAAAATTGTTAAATGATTTCTATGTTGATAATTGTGTAACCAGTGTAAACTCGACTACTCAATTAAATGAATTTATGTATCAGGCGAGGAAATCGATGGAGCTTGCAGGTTTTGATCTTCGCGGTTGGGAATATAATGGTGATGTTTCCACAGAGAGTATCACTCCGGTTTTAGGCATTATGTGGGATAAGAAACGAGATGTATTATCTTTAAATGTTGAAAATTTAGAAAATTTAGATTTACAGAAAATAACTAAAAGAGATATTTTGTCTTGCGTACATCGTATTTTTGATCCGTTGGGTTTTGTTTGTCCCGTAACACTTGGTCCGCGGATATTATTGCAAGAAGTATGGGCAAGAAATCTCACGTGGGATGACGACGTCGGTACTGAAATTAAAACTCGCTTTATAAAATGGTACGAGGGAATTATTGAATTAAATAAAGTAGAGATACCGCGTTGTCTCATCGGAGGAACGGATTCGCACGATGAAATTAGTTTGCATACATTTTGCGATGCAAGTAAATCGGCATACGCGGCTGTTATTTTTATTCGCATAAAAGATAGTGAAGGAGTCAAAGTTAGATTCGTACAAGCTAAATCGCGAGTTTCTCCTATGAAAAGTAAGGAAAATGTACGTAATAGTATACCACGTTTAGAATTATTGGCGGCAAACGTTGGAGCGAGATTGGCTGACGCTACGACAAGAATGTTAAATACAAAATTTGTAAATCTTCATTTTTGGTCAGATTCATCGACGGTAATAGCGTGGATACATCGTGAACACAACTGGAGTACATTTGTTCATAATCGTGTAAAAGAAATCCGCGAAATCTCAGATCCTAAATCTTGGCGGCATGTTCCGGGTAATTTGAATCCCGCTGACCTTCCTTCGAGAGGGTGTACTGTAGAGCGTTTATTATCATCGCATTGGTGGGATGGGCCGGAATGGTTATATAGAGATTCTGAGGATTGGCCGAATAGTAACGTCGATCTATTGTATAATGAGGAAGAAATACAATCTGAATTGAAAAAGAGTGCAAAGCATGGCAACAGTAGTTGTTTAGTTGCAATATCAGCTGAGCCTAAATTATTAAAAGTTTTGGAAAAGTTTTCGAATTATTCTAAGGTTTTACGTATAGTTGCATGGATAAAAAGATTTATAAACAATTGTAGGAATAGTTCAGGTAAATTACATGAAGACAGTCTAGGCTGTGCGGAAATTATGGCCGCAGAGAAAAGCGTATTAAAAATGTGCCAAGAAAATTTAACAGATTTTGAGAATAGAACCAATAAACAGTTTATGTTATTTACGGATGAAGATGGTTTAGTTCGCGTAAAAACAAAAATTGTACTCAGAGAAGATTCGTTTAATTTCAAGTGTCCATATATTCTACCCAATAATATTAGTATCATTACTTTGATTGTAAGAGACAAACATGAGAATTTAAATCATGCTGGTGTACAGATTACATTAAATTCATTAAGAGAGAAGTACTGGATATTAGGGGGTAGGCGAATAATTAGATCCGTAATTAGAAAATGTGTAGTATGTCGTCGTTATGAGGCCCAGCCTTTAAAATCGGTTCCGGCACCACTACCATTAAATCGCGTTAGGGACGCGGCGATATTTGAGGTGATTGGTATAGACTTTGCCGGGCCAGTATATCTCGAAAGCGCGAAAAAGGCTTGGATATGCATTTTCACATGTGCAGTTTTTAGAGCTGTGCACTTGGAGTTAGTAAATTCATTAAATGTAGCGGCAGTACTCATGGCACTTAGACGATTTATAGCTAGAAGGGGCAGGCCCAGCATTATCTACAGCGATAACGGTACAAATTTCAAGGGGCTTAATAACGAATTAACCAAATTAGACTACAAAAAGTTAGGAAGTACCGTTGCACTACAAAAAATAGAATGGCGATTTAATCCTCCCACTGCGGCGTGGTGGGGAGGATTTTGGGAGCGCCTTATAGGAATTCTGAAAAAATTATTACGTCGGACCCTTAGAAGAACAAGTCTGGATTATGAGGAAATGTCAACTGTTTTAGTCGATTGTGAGGCTATAATTAATTCAAGACCGATAACATTTATGTCAGATGTTGAGACTGAGTTCAAACCATTGGCTCCATCGGATTTCTTACAGGAAATAAAAGAGATAGGGGTTTTGGACTTAGATATTATTGAAACAAATAAAATAAATAAAAGGTATGCGTATAGGCAAAAGTTGAAAGAGGAGTTAAGACGCAGATTTAGGAGTGAATATTTAGGAATGTTAGTAAAACAAAAAGCTAATGTAAAAAATACTGATAAGATTAGTGTAGGGGATATTGTGTTAATAGGAAGTGATAACACTAAGAGACTTGAGTGGCCATTGGCTAAGGTTACGGATGTGATTCCAGGCAAAGATGGAATTATTCGTGTGGTGCGATTAACGACAGCTTCGGGCGAGTTAGTGCGACCGATACAAAAGGTTTTTCCGTTAGAATTAAATTATGACAGTGTTAACAATTGCGTGAAAAACTCTGTGCAAGAGGAACAAGACATATCGGAAAATAAAGTCCAATGTATCAAATCAATTGAAGGTAATAAAGAGAATCCAGTTGAATGTAAAGAACCCTATGTAACTAAGACTGGCAGAAAGGTTAAGAAAGTCGAACGATTAATGTATTTTAATTAGTCACTAGTGTTAGTTACGTTTATTATTAATGTTTTTTTGTTTTTTGAGATAAATAATGCGTTTTATCTCAAGGTGGGGAGGATGTTGAATTTGTAAGGATTTAGTTGTTTTTTTGCATGTTTTGTCATGTCTGTTTGATACGAGCGGTGTCTAGCTCAAAGGCAAGTGCCGCGCTGGGGGCTGCGATGTCTTGCACAACAGCATTTGTGTTTTTGATTTGTTTAGTCTACCTATCGTGGTGGAAATAAGAATAAGTAAAATTTGCTATGTTTAGTTTAGTCAGTAATAGATAGTAGTAAGCACAACATGTATTGAAGTAGTCTTGTTTTCCGCATTTTAAAATATAAAAGTTAATTCTCGTTTTGATATCTTCGTTGTTTATTTTCAACAAAATAATTTCCCTTGGATTCAGTTCCGCGACAAAACATCTTGCGTCGCTCCTTTAATCTGATACTTTTTAATATATACTTACTTCTAAGCATAAATTTTTCTATTTATCGATACAATAATTGTTTTAAATGTTGAAATTTTTTGTCATACGTGCTTATCATGACTTTTAAAGAAAATAGTGTCGATACTTGTAAGAGTTATGAAAATTCGAGAATTTACCGTTCTTCCAATACATAAATTAGTCATATAATGCTCGCTAATGGTTAATTTAGAAATTCGAAAAAAATTGTTGAAGTATATGATTATAGTACGACTCTGTACGGGTGACAAACGTGAACAAATGATGAAAATACCATGTACATAAAGGTTACGAATGAAGAGATTTTAAAAAGAGTAGAAAAACAAAGGTCGTTTTGATTGTCAATAAGAAACAAAAGAGCACAGTTTACTTAATGTACAGCGCGAATCGTAAGAGCGTCAATAAATTGTATTTGATGGTTCGCTGCGCAGTAAGGCATTGCACATCTGATTTGCTCGTATCTTGTTTACGTCTTGCGTTTTATATTACCGAAACTGATGCGCACTTGTTCTTCGCGCAGGGAACTATTGTGTTTTAGGGGTAATTTTTAGAACTGCTGAACTGATTCTGAAAATTCTTCGACTATTAGAAAGTTACACTATCCCAGCAGTAGTCCTTTGATAAGACTAGGTTTTTAGTTTGAAATTTCGTTATTTGTAAACCATGTTGGAAGGAAAGGTCCTGCAGCGTGCACCGACCACATAGATATACCTACGGAAAAATACAGAACATACGGCGAAGTCTCAATATGACGGACTAATTTGATTCCTGACCAAATTAGTCATCAGCACTTACATTTAAAAATTTATCACTACCCCAAGCCTGGCGAAGCGGGCACAGGCTCCTAATAATCAATAAACATACGGATGCACGTGCCAGCGTATCATTAATGCTTGAATGTTCACGTAAACAAAATTTGATTCAAATACGTTTTCGAAATCTCAGCTTTACTTGTGGCAGTCAACACAAAATCTTCCGGATTTTGAGGCTTTACACTTTTCACAGTTTGAAACGATTTGAGAAGGAAGATTGAATTAAATGTTGTGTACTTTTTTACGAGATTCTTTAAAGTAAATCTACAATACATTAATATCGATATTTAATGAAAAAGGCAGTGATCAAAGTATTTCACTGTGCAATTAACACTTTTAATTGATTAATCATTTATTTTGAACTTATGGAATTAATTATTGTTCTATGTATGAATTTTTCCAGTAAAGTCAACCGTCTTTATTATTGAAAACTAAATTGGCATATATTTCGATACTTCAGCTAATTTTTTCAAGGCATTAGTTGGTTTATTGCTATAATAGTCGTCTGTTCTAGGAATGGACCAGGTTTCTATTTCGGGCTGATTTTATGCTTTTTTTTACTAATTCCACTGATTCAATTAACTAATTAGTTCAGTTAATATTACTAGTTTGAAGTGTTATGAAGATTAGTAAATATTTGCACAAAATTAGTGAAAATCTAATTTGTTTTTAGGGAATAAGTAAAAAATATTGTTTTTATTAGAAACTATCCAAGAGAATCGCTTCAATGTAAGGTCATGAACGTTAAAAGGACTTAATTATTTAGTTTAATAATCTTTTAAACTCAGATATTGTCTTGTTCTAACAGATTCATAATAAACTTTATTGAATTCTGTTTAATCTCTGAAGTGCCAAGTAATTTACCTACATCATCATCATAAGGTCATCAGTCCTCAGACTGGTTTGACACGTACCTCCACTCTTTCCTATCCTGAGCTAAACTTCGCATTTCCCTACAACTAGAACATCCCCACATCCTTAACTATTTGCGAACAGTAATCTAATCTAGGTCTACCTCTACCCCTCCTAACTCCTGTTTCTGACTCTAATATGTCTCTGACTAAACCTTCATGCCTGAGAAGGTATCCTACCAACCTATCTCGCCTATTTTTTATTGACTTCCATAGAGTCCTCTGTTCTCCTATTCTTTCCAATACCTNCGTATCTTGTTTACGTCTTGCGTTTTATATTACCGAAACTGATGCGCACTTGTTCTTCGCGCAGGGAACTATTGTGTTTTAGGGGTAATTTTTAGAACTGCTGAACTGATTCTGAAAATTCTTCGACTATTAGAAAGTTACACTATCCCAGCAGTAGTCCTTTGATAAGACTAGGTTTTTAGTTTGAAATTTCGTTATTTGTAAACCATGTTGGAAGGAAAGGTCCTGCAGCGTGCACCGACCACATAGATATACCTACGGAAAAATACAGAACATACGGCGAAGTCTCAATATGACGGACTAATTTGATTCCTGACCAAATTAGTCATCAGCACTTACATTTAAAAATTTATCACTACCCCAAGCCTGGCGAAGCGGGCACAGGCTCCTAATAATCAATAAACATACGGATGCACGTGCCAGCGTATCATTAATGCTTGAATGTTCACGTAAACAAAATTTGATTCAAATACGTTTTCGAAATCTCAGCTTTACTTGTGGCAGTCAACACAAAATCTTCCGGATTTTGAGGCTTTACACTTTTCACAGTTTGAAACGATTTGAGAAGGAAGATTGAATTAAATGTTGTGTACTTTTTTACGAGATTCTTTAAAGTAAATCTACAATACATTAATATCGATATTTAATGAAAAAGGCAGTGATCAAAGTATTTCACTGTGCAATTAACACTTTTAATTGATTAATCATTTATTTTGAACTTATGGAATTAATTATTGTTCTATGTTCAATACGTACATTGATTGATATTTCTAATTTAAGTGTAAGGTAAGTTTAAGCTTTTTCCGATAATAAATAATCAATAGAAAACCTAGAACAATTTGTCCCCGATAGGCAGATCGTTCGATTTTAAATTGCGAACACTTGCATACGGATACTTTTTCCGGATAACACACATGGACTTTTGTGTCCATCGTCACATTAGCCCATAATCCTTCTCCTAGTAAGACACGGAGAACGCTTAAGATATGTGAGGTATAGGTCGTTTACAATCTCATGAGCCTTTACATGCATGAGAGGCATGTTCGTATTGTGTATTATGAAAACATTGACTCGACTATTAATCATGTCTCTCACTGTATAATCAGGGATAGAAATGGAGAAAAATTGTAAAAAGTGAAAATGAAGGCCGATGCTTTTAATGGTACAAACGTAGAAATCAATGAATAGGTGAAATTTTGCCACCGTGTAACCCAAGGCCAAAGTTTGTGAGGCAGCCCTAAATGTGTGTACATTTCGGAAGCCATTTAAAATTAACACATTTAGACGCAAATTTTGGTTATATACATTATTAATTAGTTGGATATAGCAAAGTAAATATTTCTCTATTGAAATTTATTTTCGACATGATCCTTAGCACTTTAAGATTTGTTTTTATAAAAACGTAATTAATTTTATGTTGAAAAGCATCTTGGTTTTTCTTGAACACCTAAATATTGGATCGAACCCTTTCCAAATCCTTGACGATAGGTCTAACAGCGTATACTTTCAATAAAATCGATAGGAACCACGAGAGTAATTAACTACTCGCAGAGAACATGAAAGGAACATTAACTTCTTATGAGAAACAGGTCGGGTCTTTTCTAGATATCAGCAGTGTCCTTTCAAATCTTGTATAGGTTATGTTGATTACCAGCGATGCATTAACTTTTGGTCGTTTAGAGATAAACTTAGTTTGGCACGACACAATAAACAAAAACCAAATACGTGTAATGTACAGTCATTATTTCATTAACGAAAATGTTATACACAAAACGATGTAACGTAATAGAGAAAAAATAGCGAAAAAGGTGATAGTTAAGATTGAAGAATGACAGTGAGGTAACTGACACTGCACATTTTGATCTGTTTTGGGTTTTTTAAGTTTGGCTTTACGAGTGAAAAGTGAAATCTAAAAACTACGAAAAGAGCACTGTTGAGAAGAAATACAGTGTAAACTCTTTATAACGTCACTCGATTTAACGACAAACTCCTTAAAACGTAGAAATTGCTTGACTTTGGTTGGTTTACATTGTTTTCTATACAATATTACACTCTATATAGCGTCACGCTCACTCTATTTAACGACAAAAATGCGGCATTATAAATCATTAAGCAGTACTTTCTAAGTTGCCAAAATAGATAAGAACTGCAGCTGTGTACGTTGTTGAAAAAGACGATCCTGTCCATCCACCAAGCATCAAACAAGCACTTGATTCAGCGAAACTATTAAAAAAATACTTTTTATATAATCAAATTGATCCAGCAGTATCTCAAGATATGAGTAAGATACGTAACAAAATACAATTAAAATGTTGGGGCAGCAAAAAACACCAGACGAAGATAACAGGCTATACGCAATGTATGAATAATAATGTTGGTGTGCAAAATGTGTACTATATTGGTAAATGCATATTACTATAGGATAGTAAAATAATATCTTTTATTTCTCTCCATTTAACGACCACTCTTTATAACGCCGAAAAATGTTCAGTCCCTTAAGTGTCGTTATATAGAGTTTACACTGTAGTTTAGATGTAAGTTATTCTACATATATAAAAGAAAGTCATTTTAGTTATACTACTTATAATTTAAGAACGGCTGAACCGATTTTGCTGAAAATTGGTGGGGTGGTAGCTAAGAACCAGGAGACGGATGTAGGAAAAAAAGTGGTATAAGAAAACGCAACTGACATGGAATGACAAAACGCAACTGAAAGCAAAACGAAAAATTTATCAGTCAAAACATCAATCTAGCCGTTCATTTGTTAAAAATGATATAACAAAACGCAACTAACATGGAATAACAAAACGCAACTGACAGCTAAACGTAATGTTGTCTATGGTTAAGTATGGTGTTTTTTATTTACAGTCAGATTTACCTGAAACTTTGCTTTAATGCTTTTTCATATAAAACTAATGACATGCATACCTTTTTCAACATTTTACAAAATTCTACCTCTTTAGGAAGCTGAAAGGGGTTTGCAAAGATTGCATGGTTGTTTTTGGTCCGATTTACTTGAAACTGGTTAAAATATTCAATCTCTGTTGGGGGGGATGAGTGGTGATGAGGAGTTGCAATGTTGAAATGGAACATATATTATTTGTGGTCAGATTTACTTGAAACTTGGTCTTAATGGTCTCTCATTTAATTTGAGAAAGACCTATCTCGACATTTTAACACATTTACATTGTTGCTACGTTTGTATTTGAAATCTAAGATGGCGACATTACATACGTTGTAAGGGTGAATTGGGAGTTAAAAGGTTTTATGGAGAAGCATTATTAATTTCTGCGAATGAAGCTGCGGGGAAAATCTAGTTGGAAATGAAAATAGAGATCTTTAAAAATGTGAAAAAGCATAGAAAAGGGGTGAAAGTTATAAAATTGTAGAAATATACAATGATAGAATTAGATACGGAATATAAAAATGCCAAATTTACAGAGACAATAAATATACAAGATTGGTAGGGGCGAGTGAGAGCACAATCGAAATCAATTTAGGACAATAAAATAATGTCTGGCCTAATTTTCATCAGGTTACTTGTTGTTGACAAGGGCGACGGATAATGAAAACATTAAATTCGGACAGTTTTGAATAAATTAAAGATAGAGGCGGCTCGTGGAGACTGTTCGACGAACATTGGTAGGGTTACAAGAAGAGACCGTCAACTCTTAGTGAAACTTTGCTAAATTAATAAAATCAACACAAACAATTTTTCATTGCGAGACCATCGAAACCCTTGTTTTAAATTTATTAAATGATAGGGTTCTATTCTGTTGCCGTAGGAATGATTAATGGTAATAAATGGAGAATTACCAATGGGACTAGAATTCTAGTGGAAATCCCATTCCCAAACTCAATGGGATTTCCCTTCCATTCCATTGGAACTTCAATTTCTGAACCCAATGGAAATCCTAGTGTCAATTCTTTATTTTTTTACTTTTAATTATTGTTAGTGATAATTAAATGAAATGAAAAAGAAATATGAATTACATGACAATTATTATTCCAAATAATGTCTTGTTTATTATTTTTACAACTTGCTTGACAGTCATATTAACCTCAACACGTTTTTCTCCATTTTTTTAATAAATTTTAATCATCTCAAACCAGATCTTCTCCATTTTTAGATACCCAATTGTTTTTCCATTTATATTGAATGATTTTAAATAGAATTTATAAATTTTGCATTGGTTCCCATTGAAAATAAATGGAAATTTTTCCAATGTAAATATTAATGGAATTATTGTAAATGGAAGCAAGTATTTTTCCATTTATTCCAAATGGTTTTGAATGGAATTTACAAATTTTCCATTGATTCCCATTGAAGTTTAATGGAAATTTTTCTTACTTACATACATACACATACAAAATATAAAGTTTGCTTTCAGTCGCGCTCAATACCTTTAAATGGCGACATTTTCATGACTTTTTCACAGACCGCTATTTATTATTCATTAAAACAAGGATTAATTTTGTCTATAGAAATAAGTTATCTAACAAATGAAAGAAACATTTGGGCATAATTAATATTTCCCATTTTCGATAAAACGTCAAGATATAAGAAGTCTTCCTGCTGTCCTTTCTTTTGGAATGTAAGGAGGAGCTATGTCACGGAAGTGTTTGTAATGACTTTTGTTCCGAATTTCATCAAAAATGCAAGCCGCGTGTTAATGCCTTATTTCAAGAAACCCTAATCACACGTTTCGTATAGGTACTTAATTTATTATTTAACAGATAACTGATATTAAACCGTTTTTCATTGCGCAGAAGCTTGAAAGCTAATGATATTGGTGTCTTTCAGTTTGATTATTTCATATATATATGGATGAAAACAGTCTTTTCCATCAAAAACTGGGTCGTCTAAATGTGCCACTTAGCTTCGATATCTAACGATTTTATATCAAAAAATCCGTTTTTATTTTCTTTTTCAATAATAATGTTTAAGCTAGTGAGTCACATTTATGAGATTGGGAAAGTCCCAGAGAATTATAAACGGAATGTGGTAGTAACCATACCTAAAAAGAGGGCCGCAGGTAGGTGCGAGAACAATTACGATAGCTTAACTTCCCATGCGTCAAAAATCTTAACTAGAATTGTACAGAGGAGGATGGAAAAAAGGGCGGAAGAACTATTAGGGGAAGATCAATGTGGGTTTAGAAGAAATAGAGGAACACGGAAGGTCATTCTAGTTTTACGGGTAACAATAGAGAAAACAATAGAAAACATAAAGTGTGTACAAAGGATTTCTAGATTTAGAAAAAGCTTTTGACAATGTTAAATGCGAAAGATGTTAAATATACTTAAAAATGTAGGGATGAGTTACAATGATAGGAGAATGATACTTAGTTTGTATAAAGATCAACAGGCAGTTCTAGAGCTAGGATTGCAACGTAGAGAAGTAAATATTAGGAAGGGAGTCAGACAGGGATGCACACTGTCATCGCTACTTTTTAATCTATACATCGAATCGCGATCAACATCATTAAAGACAGTACAACTGTAGGAATAGATATACAGGGGCAAAAGATTAGTATGCTTAGAGTTGCAGATGATATAGCAGTATTAGCATCTAGCAAAGAGGACTTACAGGTAGCTTTAAATAAAATGGGAAAAATACTGACAAAACAGTACTGTATGAAGATAAGTAAAAGTAAAACACAAGTACTGGTATTCAAAGGATGAAAAAGTAGGGAAAGAGCGAATATAAAGGCGAATGCTGAGGATATCATGGGTAGAGAAGATTAGAAATGAAGAGGTATTAAAAAGAATAGAAGAACAAAGGACTCTATGGAGGTCAATAAGAAATAGGCGAGATAGGTTGGTAGGACACCTTCTCAGGCATGAAGGTCTCGTCAGAGATATATTAGAGGAAGAAGCAGAAGTTGGGAAGGGTGGAGGTAGACCTAGATTAAATTACTGTTCGCAAATAGTTGCGGATGTGGGTTGTTCTAGTTTTAAGGAAATGCTCAGTCTAATGTCTAGCTCAGGATAGGAAAGGAGGGAAGAATGGAGGTACATGTACATCCAGTCTTAAGACTAGCAACCTTATGATGATGATGATGATAATGAATACCCTAAAAATATGATTCACATATCCCTCCAGGACCGATTCACTATGCTTATGACTTTATGCTAATTTTGAGATGATGTACCATGCATTAACTTTTGGTCGTTTAGAGATAAACTTAGTTTGGCACGGCACAATAAATAAAAACCAAATACGTGTAATGTACAGTCATTATTTCGTTAAGGAAAATGTTAGGAAAAATTTCCATTGAAGTTCAATGGGAATCAATGGAAAATTTGTAAATTCCATTCAAAACCGTTTGGCATAATAATTTTGAGATGATGTACCTTTATGGTAAATATTATAATAACACTTAAATTAATTTTTGGTGTTTTGTTTCAGTTGTTGCTTAGAGTGCGCCCGGACAGAGGGTGAACCATGCGGGGGTGAGTTGGGTTTCAGTGGTACTTGTGAACCTGGACTTTCGTGTCAACAACCCGGACCATCGCCCAGTGAGGGTGTCTGTCGGTTATTACCATCCGATGACAACGAAAGGCTGAATAACAATTTTCTTTAATGTGAGTACCTAAACTGTAAATGTTTAACAAACCTCCAAAACAGTATTTCCCTATATATCTCTTTAGCAAGTAGACATCCATATATTTAAATGGACCTTGTTGGAGCATACGTAATTTTAAAGTGTAGCATCGTACTACAGATGGCGTTTACCGCGCCATTCGTGGTAATTTCTAAGACGCGCTGTTAAGACAGCAGATAAAAGTTGGTCTGTGTTCTGTCGGAGCTGTCTGCGACGCGCTGATGAGATCCAACAAGAATACAGACCACTTCGAATTATTTTGTTCAATTTTTGGACTGCTTTTCGAAAAAGAAATTTCATATACAGGGTGGTGCAAAATTTACACAATATGCTCATTGCTCATTATGGTCAAACTAAGTTTAATCGAAAAATTTTTTAAGCAATACTTGTTCTCAATTTTATTGTAATTGAGTTTGTAACATCTAAATTTGATTTACTATACAGAGTGTTCAGAAATAAATAAAAGAAGGTTTTGTTTAAAGGCAGCATAGTTACATATGGGTCCAATCAAAAATTAGAGGAAAAATTTATTCAAGATGCCAAAATACGGGACTTTGGACTAGGTATGCAAAAGAAGGCGGCCACTTGATTCGAAAAAAAAAATCATTTGAATATCGCCCCGGTTTATAAGTAGGTTACCGTTACCACTGAAAACCATATTCATTTTCTATTTTTTAACACTCTTTATAGTAAATCAAATTTAGGTGCTATAAACAATATTGTATTAAAATAGGGAACAAATTTTGTTTAAAAAAATTTGCTTCAGTTTAGTTTTGCCGGTTTTGGATTATAAAGTGAAAATTGTAAATCTTTTATTTTATTATTTATTACTGGAACTAAAAATCTACTAATCCATATACCTACCACAAGGAAGAGAAAGATACCCTTATCTTTCTCAGCTAGTCAATCTACATAATGGATAAGCCAAAAGTGAGAATTGTGAAGATATGTGAAGTACGACAAAAGTAAGCAAGTTATAAATACATTGGGCTTAAACTCCCCTAATTTTTAATTAGATTCCACATTGTAATTAATTTTGAATCCTTTTTAAAAATCATATTAAATAAGATTGGTCGACGCCACTGTATTTTATTTAAGTTTCATTAAAAAATCGGTAGTATAGTAGTAGAAGAGACAAACTCTAGAAACTGTTTAAACAGAGAGAAATATGCAAAAATTTTATAAAGTACCAGCAGCATTCGTTACCTGCGACTAGCTGAGAGAGATAAGGGTATCCTTCCCTTTCTTTTATAGGTAAGTAGGCGCAATCAAATTAAATGTATATGAAAAAGATAATTCGCGTTTCGACTGCTTTTTAGGGTTCCGTACCCAAAGGATAAAACGGGACCCTATTACTAAGACTCCGTAGTCCGTCCGTCCGTCCGTCTGTCTGTCACCAGGCTGTATCTCATGATCCATGATACTTAGACAGTTGAAACATTTACAGATGATGTATTTCTGTTGCCATTTTAACAACAAATACTAAAATAGAATAAAATAAATATTTAAGTGGGGCTCTCATACAACAAACATGATTTTTTATTGCCGTCTTTATAGATAATAGTACGGAACCCTTCGTGTGCGAGTCCGACTCGCACTTGGCAGGATTTTTTTGTATATGTTAGGCGACATCTTCACCGATTGTAAATGGATTCTTTTTTTTATCTCTAGGGTGGTCCCATGGGTTTTCTATAATTACTAAATGCATCTGTATCATTTGTTGAAAAAACATTATAATGTCGGTAATTTGTAAAACTTGTAACGAGAGTTTTTCCCTGAAGGACGAAACTAGATGAAAATAAAAGGGAAAATAAAGCGCGTAAGATACTTGGAAACGACCAAACGGCAACAGAATGTTTTTTTCCGTTATTAGTATTAAGGTCATTCAGAAAGAAAAGAGGGCAGAACGAATTGACCGTTTTTTTTTTCACGATAGTTCCTCCGGAAATGTCTGGGGTCGACTAACGTAAGTGTGGGAAGTAAATAGACGAGAACGTATCGTTCGCCCCGAAAAATTCAATAGAACAAAGTAAATTTGCTCGAGGCTTGTTACGTTTCTCCTTTTGCTGTAGTAAATCTTCCTTCAAACCCTGGAGAAAATGAATTTTCGTGAGCCTTCGACAAACACGCGATCGCACGTGCAACATCAACCCCTGTTGCACAAACAGACCACTACAACACAGCGAACGGGTCGTGCGGTTTGCTTTGGAAACTTCCGTCAGGATGCCTATGCTCCTAACAATTTAATCCTTATTCATGTTTCATGCTCTTTCGGCAGCATATGTACACGGTATCCCATTTTCGATTTTTTGTGGGGTATCTAACTTATTTTTAAATGTTTAATACAGTCTTGATTTTTGAAGCAATGTGCTACCATTTCCTGAAATTAAAGTACAGCTCGGCCAAAGTATCCGTGACCGCTACAGAGGTATGCGCAGTGGCAAAGTGGAAGGGATATAACTACAGATGTGCAAAATGTTTTTTTGAAAGTATTTAAATACAAAATGCAAATACTTTTTTTCTAACTTTATGTTATAGTCCTTTTAGTTAAGCAACAAACATTTCTTCTAAATGCTTCTTGATTTGCCTTTGTCAACCGTTTTAATTGGAGGATTCTTATGACAAAATAGTTTGCATAGTGTGAAGGATCAGAACCAAAATAGGGTTGCAAATAGTTTTATTGATGTAAAGTCAACATCAATCATTTTATATCAACATATTTACAACCATATTTTGTTTCTGTTCTTTTACACATTGTAATAAAAGAAAGAAATGGAATCTATAGTTTATTTAGCTTCGGATTCATCTAATGAGTGAAGTTTTTTGAATCGTTTTCTTAGTATTTTGGATTATATGCATTTATTAGCACTCCACAATATCCTGTAGTTTTCAGTTTTACGCAGCTAACGTATGTCAATTCGATATTGTTTTGCGGACTGTTTTGTCGTAATTAATAGAATTTCGTAGTTCCTTGCTAAAGATACCATAAGTGGTGATTTGACAGGTGCTTACATCAATTTGGAACTTCAAAATTCCATTGAACCTGTAAAATAATATTGATCCAATATTTTAGATTATTCATTTCCGAGGAATTTAGAATTTTTTGGGCTCTCTTCAGTTAAAGAATTAGAAGGCATTCATGGAATGCCTCGTTGACCCCTTTATAAGTTTCTAATACCTTCAATGGCCAATGTGAGCAACTTTCATTCACCATTTTATATAATGTTTGATCGGTGATACAAGCGAAACTTTTAACGGCAAAAATGTATTTTACATTTTACAAATAGAAAATAAGTTTGGAAAAGTAGTTTAAATAAAATACAATAGGCTTTTTTCAAAAGAAGATAGAAAGGAAGGTGCAAGATAAAAATAGGTATTTTGTATTATGTAGAGTTGCATTTTAAATACTAGTATTTCAAACAAATCACATCTTTGGATAAAACTAGATTTCATTTCAGTTGTTCAGTAGTGATCATTGTGTACAGTCAGCGTAAAATCAGTGCAATATGGAATGACTATTGTTGCATTATTATTACCATTATTCTACAAATTATCTCAAAAACTAATAGGAATACAAAAATTCTGCTAGCGCCATCTTTATTTTATCAAAGAAAAGCACACTGCTGCGAAAATCACAAATCCTTCTCTTTAAAAATAAGAGAGATGTCCCGGGAAAATACCCAAAATGGGATACACTGCATGTGTAATACCTTCAACATGTAAACTACACACTCGAAACAGATGAGATTTATGTATATTTTTCTTTTTTACCGGCTCCTTAAATTTAAGAAGTAGTTTTGAATACCTATTGCTTATTGTTCTTTTTTGTTAAAGCAAATATTTACCAAATCACCTTTTGTTTTTATACAAACAACAGAAAATTTTTTGAAGATTAGGTATTACTTGGAAAATAAACTTTTATTTGTAACAAGTAAAAGCAAAACAAATACAGAAGCTAGAAGTAAGGTGCTTATCAGACTAATACCCGTATGATTTGCTTGCTTTTTAACCTAATTTTAACATTATTAAATCTTCTTCAATTGACAATCTATTAAGTAAAATACGATATAATTTAATACCCAAATTAGTGAAAAATGTACACTGAAACATTCCAAAGTCGGTCAATAAAGGTGCTTTAAAATATGACCGCTGAGAGGGGTGACCGTTATTGAGGGACCACAAATTCACTACAATTGTTGTACACAGATATGCGTTAGAAAATGAGAATAAGTCATGATGTCAGAAGAAGCTTTTAGCTTTTTATGGCTAGAGTCAAATTTCTTCCTGCTGGTTTCTGCAAGCCGGAAAGGAGAAGTCATCAGAATACATCAGCTACAAGCAGTTAAAAAGTGTGTGTTATAGGAAATTTATACACTTCGAGGCTATTTAGTAAATCTGTAAAATATTGTTTCAAAGACTTTTTAAAACACACATATCCTGGGGTATGTATATATTTCCTAGGAATTGTATGAAATTCTGATATTGTACTACAAAATGTATAAAACTAATGCTTTCTGTGAATAAAATACTCTATCAGCCCAACTCCGGTGGGCAGGGGCATTAAATAAACTTCGATCTGTCATAAATCTACCTACCCAATCAATGACGTCACCAATGGATATAGGTACATCTCCAGACAGCCTAGGTACCATATTATTGCCTGTTTAGTATTACCTTTAATACATTTCCGGTGGTTATTTAGAAAATGTATTTATTTCCTAGGAAATGTGTCTAATATAATTTATTTCACACATTGTTTCAAATAGTATAATTAATAAATCCACCAGAAGTAATAATACAGTCTTGCATTCCCGTAAGACCAATGACTACGACTGCAAAGCCAAGACTAATTTTACTCATCACTATTACAGAAATTTCCTTATGATTCAAATAGGTAAAAACTGACCGTGTAAACGTGATGATCGAAAGGATTAAGGGAGATAATTATTAGGATTTGTTTCATGGTCAAATTACCTCCTAAATTGATGGCAGATAATTATAGT